GTCACCGCACCCAAGTATGGTCCCGGTAAGGAAACCACTGCTGGCTGACCCTTGAAGTGGTTCGGTTTCCATGCGTTATGTGGACGGTTCCGAAGCCAAAACCGCCCCAAAGTTGGGCGCTCGAGCAGTGAAGTGTCGGTTTCTGGGGTACTCGGAACACGAGAAAGCGTATCGTTTCGGAAGAGATCAAGAGCGGTCGTGTGCTAGTGAGCCGCGATGCGCAGTTCATGGAAGACGTCTTCGACGAAGGGAGACGCAGCCACGTTGAAGATGACATCGTGGAGCTTCAAGAAGAAGAAGTGACGGATCAAGAAGCATCGTCCGAGGATGAGACGATGGGAGACACTGCGCCGCGTCAAGAATTTGAGCCCGGTAGCAAGCGACACCAGCGAACGCAGTCGTTGGAGGAAGCGGTAGAGATCCCGCGGAGCAAGCGACAGAGTCGGCCGCAGACGCTGGAGGAGATGTCAGCGGTCGCAAGTGGTCGAGATGAAGATTTCGAAGCGGCCTACGTTGTGAATTCAGTGGGAGAAATGCCGACTACGTTCAAGTCGGCGATGGAATCCAGCAACGCGGCCAAGTGGAAGGAAGCGTGCAACTCAGAAGTCGACTCTCTTCGCAAGAACGAGACATGGTCGTTGGTGCCATTGCCACAAGGTCGAAAGGCAATCGGTTGTCGTTGGGTGTTTCGCATCAAGGAGAACCAAGCGGGAGAGATCGAGCGGTTCAAGGCACGACTCGTGGCCAAGGGATTTTCGCAGAAGTACGGCATTGACTACGAAGAAACCTTCGCGCCAGTCGCCAAGTTCACTTCGATCAGGATCCTGCTCAGTTTGGCGGCCAAGTACAATCTGACTATGCACCAGATGGATGTCAAGACGGCGTTCCTAAACGGGCTGCTTGACGAAGATATCTACATGGTGCAACCGGATGGTTACACGGATGAAGAACATCCTGACCATGTCTGCCATCTCAAGCGCTCGCTCTACGGTCTTAAGCAGTCGCCACGAATGTGGAACCAGACCATTGACAAGTTCATGCTGGAGCTGGGGTTCAAGAAGTGTGAAGCCGATCACTGTATCTACGTCAAGTGGGATGACCAAGACATGATCTTCGTGGCTCTCTACGTCGATGATCTGGTCCTCGCCAGTAACAACGACGAGCTACTCAAGTCGACGAAGAAGGCCTTAAGTGAACGCTTCGACATGACGGACTTGGGTTGCCTCAAGTACTTTCTCGGTATGGAGATCGATCAAGATGCGACTTCAGGAAAAGTGTCGGTGCGTCAGACCAAGTTTGCGAAGGACATCCTGGAGAAGTTTGGCATGGAGAACAGCAAACCTGTCAAGACCCCTCAAGACCCAGGACTCAAGTTGACCAAGGCCATGTGCGAATTAGCAGTGTTGCGCTGAATGAGCAATGTGTGCATGTGTGTGCACAAGGGCAATGTGGCAAAGGGGCAAAAGAGCAAAGACGCCGCGAAGCACGGCTCGCTCACGACCGACACGGAGAGGTATCGGATGTGAAACGATTGCAAGGAATTTGCCCCCAGGCAGGACTGAACTACCGACCTTCCGCTTACTAAGCGGGTGCTCTACCACTGAGCTATAGGGGCTCTTACGAAAGAGCAAGCCGACCGCATTTTCTTCACCTCGATAATACGAATTACACACACCAACAATCACACAGCACACCCTACATCACCTTCTCACATCCTCACACGGTCCTCTTCCCGTCCATACCTTCCAATTCACACCTCGTCGCGATCATGGCCTCCGACCGACCGTGCCGCTCGACAGCAAGCTCGTCAATCCGGGATGGCATTAGCACCTGGAGAAACTCACGAGTCAGACCAATCCGACACCACAAAGCGGCGACGTATGTCTTCGTGGAAAGCTACGAGGGCAACTGAGTTGGAAATGTGTTTGACTCAGCGGGGAACAGTGCGGCAAATGGTGAGCGTCACCAACAGTATCCTGCGCCGAATGAGTCGGGCTGCTCTTGTTGTGCCGGAGAGAAAGGTAGTTGGCTTTCGGGCTGGCTGCTGTTTCCTTAGTGCGTTGAACAACCGGCTCAGAACTGGAGCGGACAAGGGGAATCCGACTGTTTAATTAAAACAAAGCATTGTGATGGCCGGAGACGGTGTTGACACAATGTGATTTCTGCCCAGTGCTCTGAATGTCAAAGTGAAGAGATTCAACCAAGCGCGGGTAAACGGCGGGAGTAACTATGACTCTCTTAAGGTAGCCAAATGCCTCGTCATCTAACTAGTGACGCGCATGAATGGGATTAATGAGATTCCCACTGTCCCTATCTACTGTCTAGCGAACCCACAGCCAAGGGAACGGGCTTGGAATAATCAGCGGGGAAAGAAGACCCCTGTTGAGCTTGACTCTAGTCTGACGTTGTGAAATGACTTGGGAGGTGTAGAATAAGTGGGAGGCTCTGCCGTCTGTGAAATACCACTACTCTCAATGTTGTTTTACTTATACCATGATGTAGCATCTGTGTGGCCTCGCGGTCGCTCAGTTCTAGTTGTAAACTTGGGCTTTTGCCTGGGTGAGCTACGTGGAAGACATCGTCAGGTGGGGAGTTTGGCTGGGGCGGCACATCTGTTAAATGATAACACAGGTGTCCTAAGGTGAGCTCAATGAGAACAGAAATCTCATGTAGAACAAAAGGGTAAAAGCTCACTTGATTTTGATTTTCAGTATGAATACAAACCGTGAAAGCGTGGCCTATCGATCCTTTAGTTCTTTTGAATTTTAAGCTAGAGGTGTCAGAAAAGTTACCACAGGGATAACTGGCTTGTGGCAGCCAAGCGTCCATAGCGACGTTGCTTTTTGATTCTTCGATGTCGGCTCTTCCTATCATTGCGAAGTAGAACTCGCCAATTGTTGGATTGTTCACCCACTAATAGGGAACGTGAGCTGGGTTTAGACCGTCGTG